CCCAAGCCAGTTCTTAACCATCGCGCCACTTGGCCGGCCCGCTCCCAGAGGTTTTGATGGAGACCTCAGTGGGGACACAGGTTGTCACAGACTGGAACTGGACCACACGGAATCATGCGGTGAGAGAGTCAGTCCTTTTGAATTCTCCTCTCACCTTCTGTGGACCCAGAGAGAAGGCCTCCCTCTGGGGATGGTGTGTTTAATGCCTTTCTAATATGTGGCAATCTTGCTTTGAAAGAAAGAAGACTTACTGAGTCTTTAGAGGGTGACCTGATGTCCCTAGAATTTAATAGCAATATTTGTTTTCCTTATTTACTCTTTATTTTGAAAACTAGTTTATTTTTATAGACATAGAACAGTAAAAATAAAACATACTTTATATAATAAATGTTAATGTATTATATATTTATGTAAAATATACACTCTAGCTATGATAATAATAAATTATATATATTTATGTAAATAAAATAATATGAAAATCACCCAATGCATCATCATTGGTTTATTTTTGAAGTTTCATTCTATTTATGCCAATTGATACTGATTCTTCCACTTAAAGTGGTGATATAAAAATAATATAATGTGACCACAAAAATAGCAGTGATGGCTGTTGTTAATGAGCGCCTGCTCAGTGCTAGTCCTGCGCAGAGAATTTACGTGTATTATTTCATTCCATCTCGCTCAGCTCTTTAAGACAGGTATGATGACCATCTCTAGTTTTACTGATGAGGAAATTGAGGCAGAGGGTTAAGTAACTTGCCAGATTCCCATATCAGCAAGTGGCAGAGCCCGAACTTGAACTTGGGTAGTCTGGCTATATTCTCATAACCAATATGGTGACATAGAGTCTCCTTTTAAAATGCAATTATGTAAGCTTTTTTTTTTTTTAAGTGAGCAGGTTTGAAAGAAAAAGAGTAAGTGCTAATAGTACCAATGATACTAGGACATGTTAAAATTCATGAAGGTGACAGTGAATGACTGAATTTCCCAAAACTAAATGCAACACACTTAGCCCAACTCCATGTGCACACTAGGAAAGAGGCTCAGAGAGGGAAGGCACTTTACCCAAGGAAACACAGCAAAGTGGGAACCCAGGGGAGCCAAGGTCCCAGGAGAGGCTGGGTAGAGTGGGGAGAGCATGTGGCAGGGGAGGGGTGCTGGCCTAACTGACTTAGTATGTCTGTGTGTTCACAGATGTCAAGCATGGCCCTCTAACTCCCTGTCCCTGGTCCTACTGCTGTCATTAGGATTGCATGGGTGAAGGGTAACTATTGGGGTTTGACCTTGTTTGCAGGGGCAATGGAAGAGGTTACCAGGCCAGAGGAGCCAGCCAGACTGCTAAATTGGAGACCCCTACCCACCTCACTGTGAAAATAGCCCCTCTTGGGCACGTGCACTTTCAACATCAAGTACCTGTGGTACATCGTCCCCCCCTGAGCTTACTGCCATGAGAGTGCCTTCCGAGTGAGGGCTATAGACATCCATTCATTCATTCTACCAATAATGAGAGAGGGTCTACCCTGTGCCCAGCACTGTGTGTGGACCGAAGACATAGCGGCGACACTGACATTTGTCTAAATGTCCTGGGCTAGTGTCCCCTGTTTTACAGCCTCCTGACATTAGAATCTTGCTGGGATCAAGAAAGGACATCTTCCTCCTCCTCTAAGTCCTTATTTTATTTCCTTGTCTCCAGAGGCCTCGTTTATAAAAATGAGGGTTCTTATTTATCTTCCTCTTCCTTTACATCCTTCAGTGATTGATGGACTCGGAGCTTGCTACCAGTCCGGGGCAACTATTAGGCTTTTTAATGGCTTCCCTTGTGCTTCTTAAGAGTTGAAAATCATAACCATGGATTCTACGACTGTACCTTGGTGGCCTTGTCAACTTGCCTGTTTTACAGATGGAAACATTTTGGTTGAGGGAGAGACAATTTGTTCTTCCTCCCACAGCATTTACTGAGCTACTATTTTGTGCCAGGGACTGAAGACCCAAGAGGAACAGGAGCCAGGGCCTGCTGTGTTTGTTTCTGTTGCTGCTGAAGCAAATGATCACAGACTGAGTAAATTAAAGCAACACGAAGTAGTTATCCTGCAGTTCTGTAGATCAGATGTCTAACTCAGGCCTCACTGGGCTCACATTGAAGTGCTGGCAGGCTGCATCCTGTTTTGTTTTGTTTTTTGTTTTTTTAACATTTTATTGGGGAATTGGGGAAGGGGAACGTTGTGTTTTTCCAGGACCCATCAGCTTCAAGTCAAGTTGTTGTTCTTCAGTCTTAGTTGTGGAGGGCGCAAGCTCAGCTCCAAGTGCAGTCACTGCGGGGTGGTGGGGGAGGGGTGCAGCCCACAAACCCATGTGGGAATCAAACCGGCAACCTTGCTGTTAAAAGCATACTGCTCTAACCAACTGAGACATCCGGCTGCCTGCTCAGCTCAAGGCACCGTGTTCAATCTTAGTTGGGAGGGACGGGTGGGCGCAGCCCACCCTCCCATGTGGGAGTCGAACCGGCAACCTTGTTAAGAGCACACTGGTCCATGTGGGAATCGAACCGGCGACCCTGTTGCTCAGAGCTTGCGCTCTAACCAACTGAGCCACCTGACAGGCCCTTTAGGCTGCATTCTTCTCTGGAGACTACAGGAGAATCCGTTTGCTTGCCTTTTCCAGCTTCTAGGAGCTGCCTACTTTCCTTGGTTCTTCCTTCATTTTCAAAACCAGCAGCATCGCATCTCATGGATCTTTCTTCCATAGTCGCATTTCCCTCCGACTCTCGCCTCTTCTGTACCCTCTTGCACTTTTGAGGACCCTTGTGATTGGATTGGGCCCACCTAGATAATCCAGGTTCATCTTCCTATTTTATGGTCAACTGATCAACAACCTTTATTCCACCTGCTACATGCATCCTCTTTGCCATGGAAGGTAACAGGTTCACAGGTTCCAGAGATTAGGATATGGGCATATTGGGGGGCCATGATTCTGCTTAGCATTCCTGTTCTCAGAGACCCCGGAACCCACTGAGGGAAGCAGCAATCAATGTGGGAACAACTGTGATAGGGGTACCTTCAGAGCCCACAAAGGGGGACACTTGACCCAGGGGGTTGGGAAGAGGGAAGTGAGAGCCGATCTGGAAGAGATGAGGGCTGACCTGAATCTTGAAGAATGAGAATGAGCCGCCCAGGGGAGGAGGGAGTGGAAGTGGAAGGCATCCCGGGGAAGGAACAGCATGTGCCAAGCCCTGGAGGTGAGTGAGAGAGTGCCTGTGTCACCGCGGTGGGAGCGTGAGAGGCAGTGAGGCGGGAGGTGACGCTGGATTGGGGCTCAGTGGCACGATCTTGGGGCATCTGAATGCCTGGTGGCAGGACGCTTCCTGAAGGCAGTGGGGAGCCTTTGAGGGTTTTGAGCAGGAGACTGAGAAAGGTCGCCCTGGGGTCCTGGTGGAGAGTGGCTGGATGTGAGACTGACTGGAGGCTGGAAGCCAATGAAGAGGTGACTCAATGGACCAGATGATGGAGGTCTGGATCAGGGTGGGGGCAGGGAAACGGAGCAGAGCAAGTACGTTTTTAAGCTGTTGGAGGCTATACAGGACGTGGCTGAGAGTTGTTTGTGGGCAGTGGAGGCAGGAGTGGAGGGCAGGATGATGAGAAGATTTCCGGCCTGGGAGTTGACTGGATGGTGGGGCCACCACTGAGGTAGGTACCTGGGGTGGGGGCAGGAGTAGGTTTAGGAAGGTGTTGAGCTGGGTTTGATGTGTTCATGGTCTGTGCTCAATAGACCTCTAGGGGAGGCATCCAGGAAGCAGCTGGATGTATGACACTGGAGCTCATTTATCAATTCTATCAACTAGTATGAATCAGTTATTGCTGTGTAAAAAATATCACCCCACAACTCCGTAGTAAAAAATACAGCCATCGCTTAGTATCACTCAGGTACCTGAATTCTGACTAGGGGTTTTCAGATCTAGGCTGGGCTTCCCTGATGGCTCTGCTTCCAACTATATAGTAGGTCTTCAGGTCAGCCAGGTGGTGGGATTTGGAGATGGTGACCTCTCCTCCCTCTGGCCCTGACCTGGACGCCTTCCCCAATTCCTCCACCCCACCTTGGACCAGCAGATGACATTTGAGCAAAGACCTGCAGGAGGCGAGGGAATGAGGATGTCTTGAGGGAGAATATTCTAGGCAGAGAGAACAGCTGGTGCAAAGGCCCTGAGGCAGGATTGTGCCAGGTGTGTTTGAGGAACATGAAGAAGGGCCAATGAGGCTGCAGGGAGTGAGTGAGGGGGAGGGGGCAGGAGAGAAGGGGCCTTAGTCATATGGGGCCTGGAAGGTCATGGGAAGTGGACACTACCCTTATTATTACCGCTACTATCACTTTTTATCTGCACCCCCCTGTCCCCCACAGGACCCCCCATCCCTGGACGCAGCCATCCAGCATGCCCTGGCAGGCCTCTATCCTCCTTTCGAGGCCACAGCGCCCACTGTCCTGGGGCAGGTGTTCCGTCTCCTGGATTCAGACTTCGGGGGGGATGGGCTGAGCTTCCTCCTGGATTTCCTCATCCCTGCCAAGCGCCTGTGTGAGCAAGTACGGGAAGCAGCCTGTGTAAGTCGGAAGGGACGCCCCCGAAACGGAGCAGGAAGGTCACTGGGCCCTTTATTCTCTGACATCCAGGAGTCCATCACATTTACACCTTCACTAGCAGGGAGGAAGGTCTGGATAAAGGGCGTCCTTGTGGGTTCCCGGGCCCCCAGGAGCCTGCCCGGGGGCTGGCATTGTGGGCATCACCAGGCTGCCTTGGCTGGAGTGAGGCAGCTTCCATGGAAAGAGCAGAGAATGTTCTAGATTTTCCCTGGAGCCCTTGAGTCCTCAGGACTCTCACTTTCTTCCCAGGAGACTCCTTCAAACTCACATCTCAGGGAGGCCTCTCCTAAGGCAAAATGGAAACAAAAGTGTTTTAGGCAGGACTCACTGGCTGCAAACAGCAGATCCTTACTCAGACCTGTGCAAGGCGATCTAGCTTCAGACCCAAGTTTATCCACTGATCAGTCCCC